AGCTTTTGACAAAGTGCCCCATGATATCTTGATTAGCAATTAGCTAAAAGTGGGCTAGATGGAACAACTCTTAGGTGGATCCAGAGTTGGCTACAGAATCGAACTCAGAGTGCTCATCAGTGGCACCTTCTCAGACTAGGGAGAGGTAATAATGGGGTGCTGCAGGATTTAGTCCTGGACCCAGTGCGCTGCAACATCTTTATTAATGATTTGGATGAGGAAGTGCAGGGTACTGATGATCATACTTGCAGTTGAGAAAAACTAGATAGGGTATCCAGACAAAAAGAAGATGGCCCTCCCTCTCTCCCTTTTTGCTATCTCTCTCTCTATGGTGATGCTTTGGAGGCCCTTCCTCTCTCCCCTTTCACTTCCCCTCTCCCTATGATGATTTTCTGCAGGAGATCTTTAACTCATTTTTTTAAAAAATTAATAGGCTTTGTGGAAGTTCATTTTTAAGTACATATTGTTCATAACTCAAACGCTTATAACCCAGGGAAATGCTTGCATATATACCACCATTAAAAGATGTCAAGACTGTGGGGCTATTCTATGTTGGCATCCTGATGGTTGAATATCACCTTAAAAAAGTTGGATAGGCTACTCTTGCCTAGTACGCATACTGTAAAGACTGTTTTATTCAGAGTGAGTTTTGGTGGGTTTTAAAGATGTTTGCAGCACTCTAGAAGCGTTGAAGGTGGCTTGCTCAGCTTCAAAACATTTGACTGTTTTATTTAAAAGCATTTGATTTCATTATTGTGTGTTAGCATTGGGTTTCTTTTGGGCCCAAAGCCAATTTATAAATATTTTAATGAGTAAGAACTTCTCAGTAGGTTTTCTTTGCTTCTAAGTGTGTGGTCTCCAAACCTTCTCTTCCTTCAATTTTTTCTCAGTCCCACCCTTGACACAAACACAAACATATTTGTATGTTGGCTTGAATCTACTGGTTGCCTTAGTGGAAAGTTTGTGTGCACACTGAGAGACCATTTTCACTAAATCCTCACCCTTGCTTAACCTCCAGCTTCTGTGGATTGGATTACCTTCTGACACTGATGTGGCTTGGAGGACAAAATATAGGAAAAGGGACTTAGAAAAGTCATGTGCTCCAACCTCTATAAGCAGAATTGCTTTCTGCACCAGCAAAACCTATTTTTGGATACAACCATTATTATTATTTTGAAGACTTTATTGGCCCCAACAGGTGTTCATGTTCTTAAAATCACTTGAAATTTGGTTTTAAAGGCTTTGTTTCTATACTTATAACTTTTGACCTTTAATATCTATTTTGTCTTCCTTACTTCTTTGCTTGAAGTACAAATAATAACAGAAGTCTATTCTGCTCTTTTCATGGTGGTTTGAAAGTTCAGACATTGCTTATTTCACTCAGAAAGACATGTGGACAAATAGTTTGTTCTAGAAGATTTTGTCAGCTTTCCATCTGGCTACATACTTTTATGTTTGTATTTTGTATTCAACTGAAGGAATATAAGTTGGGGGGGCAATGACCGCTTTTGAAAACATACATCCTCCTTCACCCCAGTGTATAAAATGAGCTCTTTGCCCTCAAGCTTAATTGAAATGACCTCATAACCCTCTAGTATATACTATTTCAGGAACTATGTCAAAATAATTGTGTGCCTCTGTTTGTGTTCCTTTTGAAAGGCTTGTTTGTCCTCCTTCCCCCAAGTAGCCATACTCAGTCAAAGGGAAAATATGACTCCAGTTTTAATGCATTACTAAAATATTGAACTTAATTGCTAATTATGTAATGCAACTGTGAATTAACCCAACAAAATTACTGTTAACTTGTGTGTCCATCCACACCTACTTTAGATATTTGTGGTACACTAATAACCTGAAAGGAAGAATCATTCGTGCATTCTGGATTACAAATGGTTCCCTGCTTTGTCACATCAGAAGAGATTGCATTGTATTACCACTCAGTAGCCAAAGCGCTTGGGGCAATTTGCCACAGCTCCTAAAATTCAATAAAATATGATATAAAATACTAGTAACAATAAAAAATCAAAACATTTCACTGCAACATTTAACAACTGAATTTAAATAACTTTCTAGCATGCTAATAAATTACCCAGCTTCTAATTTGCATATGGGAAATATTAAAGGTGGATGACATAGGGATTTTGTGAGTCTGAACAAAGATTTTCTTTGACTAATATTGTAATGAACATCATTTGCAATGGTACAAACAACATGAGCATTTCAGGTGTAGTTACGTATATGTGGGTAATTACTATGTAAAACTATCATAGTGATGGTACTCTTAAGTGCAGTTTATTGTTATTTGTGTATAATATACAACTTATATAACATATAAGTTGGGAATCTCAAGTTCTGATAAGTCTTTGCTTCTGTGTGCGTGCATGTGTGGGGAGGGCTGCAGTGTATAGCTTTGAATTATGTTATAAATGTACATACAAACTTTAATTCTTCTTAAGCTTCAGAGCAGATACCACATTGCATCTCTTCTGATGTCCTTCCATTGAGAATGGGTACAGGGGGTTGCACCTGTATTCACTTTGAATACCCATGCGAAGTATTATAAATAATTGGTGAAAAGCATTATATATATTTGGTAAAGGAATAGATACATTCTAACTAGAAACATAAACATTTGTTCTGAAACAGTGCACCAGTTTTCATTCTGGTTCCTCAGTAGATTTGCTTGTTACAAACAGTGGATGAGTTAGGACTTTTTTGCATGAGGCCATTTACTGACACTCCTGCTTCTGAATTCTTTGTGGGATTAATATTGGTTCCTTTCCACATTTGCGGGGTGGGGCCCTTTTTCTGCCTTTTCATATGTCCCGTTACACAACCATTGAGTGATGTTGCAGTATGGCAGAATTGTTTGAATATGGCAGGGTCTCATGCTGCTTTTGATGGAGATTCCAGACTTTCCTCATTAGAGAAAAAGAATAAAGAAAGCACTGTGTTTTTTTCCTTAACTGCAAAGAGTGGGAGAAGCCATGGAGTATAACAACATTATGTCAAGCACTGTGAAACTGCCATAAGTGAGCGACCATGCGTGCATAGCAAATGGCTCCTGTGCAAGGGCTCTTAAACCAAAGCCTCACTTGGTTAGGCTAATAATATTCCTTTAAGGATATAGGCATGATCCAGCCAAAGGTAGGCACTATTAAATCCCAGTGATTTTCGGTGCCCAAGAGAAGTCCCAGGTTCAGTCTTTGGTATTTCCAGGAAGAGCTAGAACGAATCCTACCCCAAACCATGGAAATACACTGCCAGTGTTTATGATATAGACTGGTATGCATCGGTGTATGGCAGCCTCTTACTTTCCTGCGAAAACTGCTATCATTGTGAACTTTGCAGGAAACTGGAATCCAGTTGGGGAAAACCTTTCTGAGATGTAATGTCTGGTATTATTCAAACATAACCTGTTTCAGGCTTGTTGACTTTTGTCTCTGACTGATTACTATTTAGTCCGCCTATTGAACAGTAAGCTAGATTTGCAGGGGTTTCAGAAATCATCTTGAGGAGAGTGACTGATATGAAGAATGGGTACTGGCTTGATTTAATTATTTTAGAGAAGTTTTACTCCAGAACAGATAAAAACAAAGTATCCTTCAAATATAAGAATTGATTAAACTTTAGAATTCAAAAACAGCATGTTACTTTTACACTAGTTAAAATACATTTCTTAATTTTTCCTTTATATGATAGGAAATTCATGTTTTGCAAAGAAATGTATGAAGGGTTTCCAAATGAGTTGTCCCTGTGAGTAAGTGTCTCCAAGTTGGCTTCCTGGAGGAGAATTAGTAAGGAAATGTTCATACAGGAATTTGGGCTGGGGGAGCAAAGACTGGTATAAATATCCCTGGAGAGGTTCACCTGGCGCTGAGTTTATAATCCTTTTGGTGCCAGGTCAAAACCTTTTTATTTAATTGTTATTTTAAAAACTAGCATTTTAATGTTCAACAGTTGCTTATTATTTAATTTATATTTCCTGGTTATTTGTTATTTATTATATTGATATGGTTTGTTTTATTGTGTGTTGATTTTAATGATTGTAAGCTGTCCTGAGATGCCACACATAGGGAAGGTATACAAACATTTTAAATAAATAAATGTTTTAAAATGTATTCCTTAAAATTACTTCAATTTGAAATTGACATTAGCTGGCCTGCTACAACCATCACTGAATTCAGTTTCCTGTATGGGTTTTTTAGTATTAGCAGCCTCAGAATGAAATCAATGTCAGATCGTGTTAGTAGCAAAACATAATTAGCTATTTGGAGTCTTCCCTTGACTAATTATTTAATATTATAATAAGATAGTGAAAGAAACTGCAAGGATTTTTGCCAACAGTTAATCATAATTCTCCTTCTTCCCATTAGTACAATTCATAAAAACACAACTTTAAGCTTCAGAATGTCAGTTCATTATGTTCAATCTTCTATCTATGTACCATCATAAAATATGTTGTAATTCATATTGTTCATTAAATTTATGGTGGCTAATATGTCAAAATTTCTAGATCGTCTTAATTTGGTTCCAAATATTCATTATTTTTTCTTCACTGAAAAATAGAGGACATAATAACTAGGAGTAACGTTTTAAGTATGAATATGTAGTGTACAGTGAATTCACCTTCTTTGTGCATTTCCCTTTAGACTTTACAGTATTGCAAAGAACAACAATGTATACTTAATTTTGTAAAACCTGTGAAAAGGTATGTTGTTTACTTCCACTTGGAGGTCCAAGCAACATAAAAAAAAATTATCCTGCTCCTGGTGAAGGAGACAACATATATTGGACATATTGCTTCCTCCCCTACCCAGCAGGACCTAACCTGAAAGATGGATAGAAGGCATAGAATATCACAAGTAGATTATGAGTAGGATGGTATTATTTGTAGTGATAGAAATACAAGGGAAAGTTTTGAAGTTGTTGGGTAAAGTGAATATGAACGCAGCAATTTGTAACCACAATACTAAAGTATTTCTTTTTGTTTTAATTAGCCCCTTTTATGGAGAAGATTTTTACTGCGAAATTCCACGGAGTTTTCGTCATCTGTCATTTTACATTTTCGATAGAGATGTTTTCCGCAGGGATTCAATCATTGGTATGTGCTTTTATGTCTGTTCAATTTAAAGTTCAGCTCTAATCTTCAACATTTCCCCTTAATAACAGTTATGTGAATTCTGACATCTGTTATAGGCAACTTCGAACAACGCAAGGAAATAATTCCTTCTCTACTTTCTTTTAACTGAACAATGAATATTACAATGTATTGTTCACTGAGTTTTAAGCTAGCAGGTTTAAAGACAATTCTATATAATAATGAAGAAGAAAAATTACCCACAAAAGTACGGTGATTTTAAATTTCAGTGTAGAGTAAAAGGAGCCTATATAAAAGCCATTTAAAAAATTAATAAAAGAATATACCAGAACTTGATATGAAACACATGCTTTCAATTTATCTGTGAAGAAAGATAAAGAGATTAGTAAGCCCTTGTTACTGCTGAATGGATGCTTTGATTTCAAATTCTTGTTTTCATGCACTTAAATTTTCTAATTTGGTAACTAGAATGCTTGACTTTTCTTGAAGTTTAAATAGTAAATTCAGTGTGGTTATCTTTGGTTGCTTTTAAAATTCCAAAACAATACATGTTTTTGGTAACCATTATGTTTTGGCGTTCTTCCACTCCTCACAATCAATACTTGTAAACTACTAAATTTGGCACAGGTAATAGATGGGAGTGGTTAAGAGTGCAGGACTGCAACTCAGGCATTCTGGGTTCTACCACTCAGCCATGGAACCAATTGGGTGACTTGGCCCAGATTCTCAGCCCAACCTACCTCACAGGTTTGTTGTTGTGAGAACAAGATTGAGAACAGGAGGAAGAGAATTAGGTAAGCCGCTTTGAATTCATTGGAAAAAAGCGGGATATAAATCTAATAAATAAATAAATATTACACTTTAATTGCTAGACAACAATGGTTGTGGAAAAGTAAGAGTCAATGAGGCAAAAATGCATTCTGGCCAAAACTATTATGATAGAAGAATGAGTGAGCACAGTGTCATGGCTTGGAGCATTAGCAATGGATATGTAAGTCCTTGGTTCAGATTTCAGCTCAGCCATGAATCTAATGGGTAGTCTTACTGAAGCCGAAATACCTTGACTCTCATTTGTAACACGGAAAATATATAATGCAGGTTTATCTTACAAGGTTATTGTAAGAATTAGATTGCAATCCTGAATATTAGAGGGAATAAGCAAGAAACACAATGGGATTTACTTAAGGATAAATCTCCTTAGGACAGCACTGTTAATGAGACAATATGTGGAATTCTTTGAACACTTAGAAAAAAAGAGCAAAGTTTTGATGGATCGAGTGATGTACATTAGTGTAGCTAGTGAAGCTTTTTAATCTCAGAGAGTGCTTTCATATTAAAGTATTTCATGTGTTAAACTTAGAGGTATGTGATATTCTGAAGGGAGATAACCTTAATCGTCTGTAAGTCTGGGGGGCGGTGTATGTATGAGAAAATAAAGGAAATAGGAGAGGAAGCAAAACACGCCTTTGAAAAGATTGCAAATGTATGCTGTATCAATGAGAAATAATATTGCCATACTGTGTTATTTAATTTGGAATTTAAGCTGGCTAGAATCATAAATGATGTTTATATTTAAATATATAAGTAAAAAATCCCTTTTGGTTTTAAACAGCTTGAATTCTGAATTAATCGTCCCTTGTACAAAAAATTAATTTTCCATTTATAGAACACGTGATTGCAAAACTTTTCAAAAACTTTCCTTTTTCATAAAAAATAAACATTATCCTTCAAATCAAATTAAATTATGTATTTATTGGGAAATCAGCATATTAAAATACATTTTGAATTCCTGGGAATATTTAATTTTGTTTCTTTAAAGCATCACTATGTTGCCTGTTTCCTCTCTGATTCTTTGTATTTTTTAATTTTGTTTTCTTGTGGCATGGCTGTCACAAATGCAAAGTCAGCTAAGAAACCCCAAACCCAACTTGATAATGTTTCCTGTGCTTAAAATATCTCATCATAAATGACATAACCAGAAGTAAAAAGTTCTCAAAAAGACAATATTTTAGAACATGTCAGTGAGGTTTTTTTTTGGCATGGGCCGAGGAAGGGACCCAGAAGGAACCTGTGTTCCTTCAGTATGCTTTTATTTTCCTGGCACATTAAAGGCTTTTTCCAGCTGACAGTTAGTACCCATTGTGTATGTCTCATGTGGGATCAAGATACTTTCCGTAAGGATGTGATTTTATTTTAAGAAAGTTGCTTCATATTTTGATAGTATTCATATTGTAGTATGCAGTTGTTTCCTCACGTGGTGGGGCCATTGCAGTTTGGAGAGATGAGGGGAACATTGTTGGTGAAAGTAGGCGCTGAATGGATAGTCCCTGTGATATAAGTTAGAGCACCCTCACATGTGCCATACTGTGTGACCGGAGCACAATAGACCACTTGCAGAAGCGACTTGCGTGGTAGAGTCAGTACACACATTACATTCTATAGCGTGAGTGTGTGTGGGCATACTGTATATAATAGGACACATACTTTGCATGCAAAAGGTTCTAGAGTTAGTCCTTGAAATCTGAGTTATCCAGTAATCTGTCTGAGATCTTGGAGAGACCATGGGTGACCAGCAGATTCTGAGAGTTCTTTTTTGTCTTTTCTGGGGGTACCAGGTTGGAGAAGGCTGAGCTCAATGAGGACAGTACTGAGCTAAATCCACCAATGCTCTGATTTCTTATAAAGGAGTTCCATACTCTAGGACTTTGATTAACATGCAAGCAGGGAGAGCATGTCTCCTTATTCTTATTGCTTTCCATGGGTGTTGTGGAATAGCTTCTATGGCAGAGATGCTTTTCTACCTATGTAAGGTCCCTTGTGATTTAGAACCCTGGAAAATCTGAAGTTAAACTCAAAAATAGTGCACCTGAATTGTGCTAAGGTGACACTAACAAGGGCCTTCTCCAATTTCTCAGCGCCGAAGAGGATTATATAATGATGCATGATTAAGCACTTTGCATCCCAAAGCTACATGTGTTCTGAATAATGGTTGAGATCTTGAGTTTTCTCCCACAGAATTCATTCCTGTAAACTGAAAGGCAGGAGGTTACTTTCACTAATTTCTCCTTTCCTCTACAACTTGCATCTACTTGAATACCCTGAAAATGTGGCCTGGAGGTTGAAGGACCATCTGCAGCAGCTGCAGTAGGAGACCAGTGAAAATAGTTTTCTTTTTCCACTGGTGGAATCCTCCCTAAGGTCTCAGTCCTATCCATGAACAGAAACCTGATTAGAATCCACGCCCTAAAACCCACAGTGCAACACCAGCCATGTCTAGTCAAACATAGACACCCACTGGGTTCAGTAGGGCTTATTGTCATGTAAGAAAGTATAGGATTGCCAGTAAAGAAGTGTTTCTTAAATGAGATGTTTGTCTTTCTGTATTTAGCACCAAAGGAGAAAACACTCTCCTGGCACTGTTACGTAAAAAAATATTACGTAGTAGTGCTTTTTAATCAACAGGCACCTAACCATTGGATGTATATGGAATATATCCTTTTTTAGTCTGGTAAAACAGTCAAGAGAAAATTAATACAACATTTAGATGTGATAGGAAGGGCTTCAAAAGAGCTCCAGGTCAAACCTAGAGCAGAACCAAGCAACAGAATCCGCAGCAGGCACGTAACGAACAGTTCAGCATCTGTGACCTTCTGCTGAAAACAGGAAACATGCTGTATCATCTGATCATTTATCACTCCTTTAAATGAATAAAAGAAATCTTATACTGGGTGTCCTTCATGTGATGGATGGACAATTATTTCTGGCCTAATTTACAAAATAGGCAAATTAGAAATTAAAGCTTTCATTTATGTTGGAAGCCTCAACCATACCACAAGCATGAGAATTTCTGTCTTAAGCCTAATATTTAGGAAGGCTTATCCTAGAGCTTGGGTTCAGTGTCATGTTGTTTGCAAGAAGAATATTCTAAAATGGAAAAAGAGACATTACTGCCTGAGATCAATATCCAGGAGTTGAAAGACAAAACACAGTACTTTGTCAGTCACACGCTCTGAATGAAGATACTTACTGTAGAGACTATACCTACTTCCTTCAAAATGCAGCCTTCTGAGGCTGTTACCTCTGAATCTGAATCAGGCAGGGCTAGGTTGGAATTTTTAGCTGAAATGCCAAGGCCAGCAGGCCCACTGATAGGCCTAGGGGCCAATGAAAAACGTACTATGTCTGACACTATGAAACAGGTGGAATCAGATGGACTGGGTATAACATGATCATCAGAGTCTGATGTCAGATCAGAAGGACAGCCCAATTGAGTCACATCTGACATTTCCACCATCTGGTCCCCAAGCAGTAAGAACCACCCTTAGCGTGGAGCTAACTCCTTTTTGTTGGGAAGGGAGGAGAAGGATTCATGTTGGAGCCAACTTCTTCATGTTTTCCCGATAGTTGGAAGGGGAGTCCTGTCAAACTTACTGACTTGGATCAGATATGTCTTGCATGAGATGAAGAGCACTTCCATTCACAGATACGTCAATTTCTTCCAGGGTGTACCTAATGTTCAGCCACACCCTTGGGAGTGAGTTTGTGAGGACTGTTCTTGGAGGGCAAGATCAGGAATCCTTGGATGAATGCAGGGCTGTCCAAAGGGGTGGGGAGACTGGAAGGATCTACGCTTGTCCCCCATCAAGCAAGGTTTCTGTGTACCATAAGTCTGTGCCCCATATCTGCTGCAAGGTTCTTCTAGAAGGCATTGGCAGGGCATCCAGTATCATACCTGCTCCAAGGATCCATAAATCCTTTGGTGGTCCTCTGTGAGCTGATATTTCTATACACTCTCCAAAGGATCTTAACCTACTATGAAGAATTGCCTGAATCTGGAAGGTGTTGAAACAGTGGCTGATGTATGGAAATAGCCTTGTAGGTTTTGTGAAATTGTCTGGAAGTCCTGGCTACTATTGTGGGAAGGAAATGCTCTGTCTCTGAAGGTAGTGGCTCTGGATGCATCTAGTTTGGTTTTAAATCTAGTAAATACGTAACTGAGAGTAAGTTTAATTGGAAACAATGAGGCTTAATTCTAAGACATTCATAGGATGGCACTTTTAAGTTCTTCTCACTGCTCCTTAGCCATACAAGGTAATCTGTTGACCGAATTTTGTTTTCTGATCCTTTAATCTGAACCTTTTGGATTAAGAATAGTATTGCCAATCTGTTGAAGTAGTGTTGTTCCTCTTGGCTAGCTAGAAGTGTAAAAAATGAACAAACAAAAACAGCACTGCCAAAATGAATGAATGAATGAATTTTTTTTTGGATTTCTGTTCTTTAATGCAATATATCTATGATAATACAAAGGAAGAAAGTTAGGAAGAAGAGAATTAGACATGTTTGTTTCATGCAAGGTCTGTAGTTCCATTTGATTTCGTGGTGAAATTGTTATCTCATATCAGCTATTGCAGGCAGCTTTCTTATCACAGAAATTCAGTACCTGCCTCTATAGATAGTAAGGCCTAAGCTTATCACTTGATAAGATTTCTCTGTTGACTTGGGTATTTTGCTTGCAAAGGAAACCTATAGGAAACAAGAACAATGCACTTACTGCTTTGTAAGTTCCTAGCAGCAGATAAAGTGTCTTGCACATGTCTGCTTCGTAAGTCTTTAAAACACACACACACACACACACACACACACAAAGAACAAGTGAAACAATAGCAGACTGACTGACTATTTTCAAATGTTTGAAACACCTGCTTTCATTACACACACACACACACACACACACACCCCTTCAGGCATATAGAAAGTTTAGTTTTATCATGCAGAGCCAGTTCTGCCCTCTTTCTCCCTATTATTTTCCTTCCTCCATACTAAAATGTGCATTCATTTACAAAAGCAAATGGTATTTTGAAAGAGATTAAGCATTATGCATTTGGATGAATAACTTTGCAAAGTGGAATTAACATTGAACAATCCTGATTTGGGAATTTGTGGTATTAATAGCATTTCCCTAGCAAAAATAAAATTATTTATTGCTTTATTCCCTAGTCTGGCTTTTGCCTTTGCTAGTCTTCTCCAGCTTAGGCCCCCCAATGCTTTGAACTGGAACTCTCATAATCCTTTGCTATTGGGCATTCTGGCTTTGACTAATGTGAGTTGTGGTCGAAAAGATCTGGGGGGCACAAGGTTGCCTATCTCTGACTTAAGAACTTCCCTTTAAAAGTATGTCAGAATCGTGAACACATTTCTAATTGTAGTTGCATGAATGAGAAATACTGCCAGGTGTGCTATCCTTGCCCAGTACATTATTTGGAAGTCAGGTCAATAAATTCTGCAAAGGAATTGGTTAATTATGCTATGCTAAAGTGAAGAGAAGCTTGCAATTAAAAGGAACAACGTGCTATGTAAAGAAATATACTGTTCTGCCCATAGAAGACTGTTAGCCCCCCTTTTAATGGATCCTGAAATGTATATAGAAATGCCTGTATGCATTACATTTTTAATTTGATGTATTTTCAGGAAAAGTTGCAATACTGAAGGAAGATTTGCAGAAGTACCATAACAGGGATACCTGGTTTCAACTGCAACATGTTGATGCTGATTCAGAAGTACAGGTGAGATTGTCTTCTCTGTTACTAAATCATGGAGTGCTAGTAATGGAGTTTGTCAAAACCACCCAACAGTGCAGGTGGTGCTGGACTAAATTGGGAAGAGATAAGAAAGGATTCTGACAGTCTATTTCTGGGCTGAAGATTCATAGAAACCATGATTGGAATTCTCTCATGCAGAGGTGTGGCAATGAGCTGGGCCAAGGTTTTGTAGACGTGACAGGACAATGCTGATGTTGCTAGTGAGAGAGGCTACAAAAGGCCAGTCACCTATGCATGGAAAAACAAGGATCCCTTGAAGTCTTAGATGTGCCACCACTACTGCTACATAGATCCTAAAGACTGCTGGAGTCATGGCTAAGCTGAAAGAAAGGACCTTGAGCTGGAAGAGTTTCTTGGTGTAGGTGAAGCCAAGAACAGGGCTTGAGGATGGATTCAAACTTGCATGGAAGAAAATATCACAAAGTTATAATGTTGTGATCCAGTACAGTCACTTTGAATTTCTTTGGGTGAAGGTAGCACTTTGCATCCTGAAAGCTAGGTTTCTGAGACTGTAATGTACCCAGAAAAGAAGACAGTGGTCCTTTGAGCATGGGAGAATTTTTCTATAGCATAAGAAATGCAAGTGGTCCATCTAATGGGACCACAGTTCCCTGATTGTGAGTGAATCCACCGGTGAAGGGACTAGTCCATGGTGACTATTAGGACAGATGGGGAGGTTTGGAAATTGAGTCCCCTTAAGAAGGAGTGGGAGCCACCTCACTTGGTTTAGCTCTAGCATGTTCAAAACAACTGTTTTGTGTATAAGCCTTATGTGTCACAGATGGCCGCTTGGAGAGCCAGAATTACAGCAACTTGTTGTTTTCCATAGTCTGGCTCAAGAAGTTAAGTTTGCTGTGTTGTAACAAGCACTTTTTAATTTTCTGATATATCACCTTAAAACCATCATATTTCCTTCTGCATGGAAAGAGGAAATATTACAGTCTCATAGCACTGTGTCCATTTTATTAAATAGCTGCTATTGCCTGCAATTAATGTTCTTTATTATGTAGAGTGATGTTTGGCTTATGCACACACATGCGAAGGATTGCTTGCCTGCTTTATCCATCTATTTAATGAATGTTTATACTGTTCTTCAATTACATAATGCCCTGTAATGAATTTGTATATGGCTCATCCATATTTGCAAGCTGAATATGAGTGGTAAATATGCAGCTCTTGAAAAAGCAAATGCAATCTTAAGCTATATAAACGGAAGCATAGTGGCCAGGTCATGGGAAGTAATCATTCCACTCTATCCTTTGTTAGGCTGAATTTGGAATATAATGTACAGCTATAGGAACCACATTTTAAGAAGGACATTGATAAACTGGATTGTATCCAGGGAAGAGTGAATGGAATGGTGAGGAGTCTGGAGAAATGGCTGAAACAGCTGGGTATGTTTAGCCTGGCCAAAAGAAGATTAAGGGGAGACATGATAGCAGTCTTGAAATATCTAAAAGGCCATCATGCAGAAAATGAAGTAGAGTTGTTCTCAGTGTCTCAAGGGGACTGGACTAGAACCAGTCGATGGTTTGAAGTTGCAGGAAAGCAACTGTTGGCTAAATATTAGGAGAAGCTTCCTAGCAATACAACCTAAATTGTCGTACACTGCCTTGATAGCCTTTTTATTTTTTATTTTATTAGTTATTTATTTCTTTTGCTGGTAAGGAGGTATGCAGATGGAAAGAAAGAAAAACAGAAAGACAGAAGAAGGAAAGGCTAGTGCGGGCTGTGTGGCAGTGGAATAGCTTGTCTTTGGATGTAGGGGGTTCTCCTTCACTGTAAGAACCTGGGTAACCATCTGTGAAGGACACGGTAGCTGCATTTCAGAGCCTGCAATAAACACAGGGTTGGACTAGATCAGAGATTTCTCATGTTTGGCTGTGCTCACTGG